ATAACAGTCGATACAGTGGGTGCTGCCAATAGTTAAGCACTCAAATACAAGCCAAAAGGTTGCTGGCTCAAGCCCACCCAGGGGCGCCTCAGGAGGCAGGCCTTGGAATCTGCACCGGGAAGGTAAGTCTTAGAAACCCTGTGAGGCAGTTCTCCTCTGCATACAGGGAGTGGCCGTGGGAAGGCGTCGCTCAGCAGCAGCCCGGCGGAATCAGTGTGTGCCAGCTGACTACTAGCCCTACACAAGCACCGAAACAAGTGAATTCGGATCAGAGGGAATCACCATCCACACGCAAGTATAAGCCGACCCAAATATCAGCCGAGGTACCTAATTTTACCACAGAATTGCATTAAAAGTGCTGAAAAGCTCGGCTTATACACAAGTATATAAGGTCTCTGTGAAGTGCAACTACAAAGAAAACGAAATAATATTAAATGAAGGGTTGTCGTTCCCCCAGCAGAACAAGACGAAGATTTTCTGTTTCTCAAATTGGATGGTAGATTGGATTATCATGCATAACATTCATAGATACACTAATTGATTACATAATATTGCATAAATGAAAATTACAAACCCAGCTCCTCTCATATAAGGTCTTGGTCAACTATGTAACTACTTTTTAGCCTACAGTTAGACTGTATGTTTGATCCTTTCTGAATTTTATCTTGCTGTAAGTCTAGTGTCCAAAGCACCAGGAGAATTTTATATCAATTACAACTGATGAGCCTGCCTTCTGGTGTTTTATGAAAGCTAACTTGCTGTTCAACAGAAAGAGGCTGAGGCCAAGGCCCTGGGGTTTTCCACCAGAAACTCTCTTCTGGGTTGACATTCTGGGCTTACTAACCCAGCTTCCTATAAGACCCTCTCTTCCACAGCAATGCCATCATTCTTCTACTCAAAAATCGGAAGTTTTGCCACACAGCGGAACTTGTGCTGAAATCAAGATACTAATTATAGCCAGAGGTCCCAATTTGTATCTGAAAATAGGCATGAGATTAATTCACCATGAGTAATGCTTAAGAACCTAGACATTCTCCCCCATTATATAACTTCCTCCTAAATGCTGATAAAATTACCCAAGCCTCTTAAAAAGTTCCCAGAAGTTTTCCCTCTTTAAACTATGCTTTAAAATAAAAAAATAAACCGTGCTTGCCTACCCTTCAATATCTGGCACCACTTGGTTTCCGCAGCACCCAGGGTCGTTCAGAAAGCAAGCGTCTGTCTGCTAACCAAGAGGCAGGCAGTTGGAGTGCCTTCTGAAGCCTCTCAGAAGAAACACCCGGCGACCCGCTTCTGCAAGATCATTGCCATGTGAACCTCATCGGCACAAACTGATAGCACAGACGAGGGGCATCCTGAGTCAGAATCAACTGCTGCAGGGTTTGTGTTTCGTTTCTTTCAAACATATCTTCCTGTTTCTAAGAATACGACAAATGACTCTAAAGAATTTAGCTGATCCCAGGGACGAGTTTGTTGAAATCTGCTGGGTGTTTTGTTAGCATTTTCCCCCCCCCCACCTAAACACATACTTTCCTTTTTTATTATTATTATTTTTTGATCATCTTATTGGGGGCTCATACAACTCGTATCACAATCCAATCATTCATACATCGTGTCAAGCACATTTGTTGTTGCCATCATTCTCAAAACATTTTCTTTCTACCTAAGTCCTTGGTATCAGTTCATCCCCCGCCCCCTGATGAACCCTTGATAATTTATAAATTATTTTTTTCATGTCTTACACTGTCCCATGTCTCTCTTCACCCACTTTTCTGTTGTTCCTTGCCTAGGGAGGGTGTTATATGTTGATCATTGTGATTGGTTCCCCCTTTCTCCTCCACTTTCCCCTTCCCCTCCTGGTATCGCTACTCTTATTATTGGTCCTGAGGGGTTTTTATCTATCCTGGGTTCCCTGTTTCTAGCTCTTATCTGTACCCGTGTACATCCTCTGGTCTAGCCAGATTTGTAAGGTAGAATTGGGATCATGATAGCGGGGGTAGACGGGGGTGGGTATTAGAGAACTAGAGGAAAGTTGTATGTTTCACTGGTGCTATACTGCACATCCTGGCTCATCTCCTCCCCGCAACCCTTCTGTAAGGGGATGTTCAGTTGCCTACAGATGGGCTTTGGGTCTCCACTCTGCACTCCCCTCATTCACAATGATATAGTTTTGGTCTTTTAAACACATAATTTCATAAAGAAAATCTATCAGCAAGTCTGGAGAGCCTTTTCCTGTCATTGATAGTTTCAAGGGTATTGTCACAAGGAGGCATTTGATCTAGTTCAGAAAGAGAGTGCACATGTTGTTTTGTGCTTTTCTTGTGTGTGTTTACACCGCGCTCCCTTCATCCTCGGCCGTGGCATTCGGTACTTCCTGCCTGCAGCATTGCCTGCATGCCCCTTTCCCAGTGTGCCGTGGGTCTCAGCAACAGCAGCCCTTCATTGTTCAGGATTACTCAGAGCTTTAATCCCTTCTGAGGTGAACAAAGGTGACATTTCATGACTGCTTTAAAGAAAAAAGAAAACGAAAAATCTTCTGACATTAGAGTTCCTGAAATGACAGATGTGACACTCATTGTGGAAAACACTCCTTCTATCTTAGAAATGCCAGGAAGACGCGGGTGTTGTCCCCGATGAATCAGGAACTCCAAGTCGAAGCACAGGAAGTGCAGGCCGGCCTGCGGCGGCTGGCTCAGGGTCTGTGGTAGAGGCACAGCTCACAAGGATGAGGAGAAGATGACACAACAGGAAAGTACTTGAACCAACCACAACTACTGTAGAACAAAGCTAATTATTTTACGTAATTTAAGTTCATTATGAGAAAATGTTTAGCTTTTTTTCCTCCCCTTTAAGAACATTTGAGAGAAGCACACCAGCCTATGCAACCACGAGGTGTCGAAGGGATCAGGTGTTAAGGCATCATCAGAACAAAAAATCTTACCAT